ATTGTGATCTAAAAAGTAAAATGCAGTTAATACCATTGCATATTTTATTGAAGAAATTTATAGCACTTGCAGTTTAAAGAGAAAATTATTTTAGAAATTTCATAATAAGCTCCACTGATTTAAAATATCTGCTCCTCTCTCTATTTTTGTAAGGTATTTTAGGCAGTGTTCAGTGTTTGGGAAATGGCCTGATCTTTGCATTTCCTATTGTGCATCTACAAATATAGGTATGTCAGCTCAGAGGTATGGTGCATAGACGTGTCATTGCACACTAGAAAAGCCCAAGTGAACCTTGTAACGGTGGGCTGTTTATGAAATGTGAATGATATGCTCTGTTCTGCATATTTTAAACGACACTGCACGTTGGAAGGTTATAACATTTTTTATGAAGGAATATTAACTTCAAACACTATCTGCTTCTTTTAGACGTGACAGTTTTAATGTAAATTAATTTATTACACTCAAAAAATAAAACTAATTGATCACAATTGAAAAATAAAATGTATTACATATAACAAACTAGCCCTAATTTAACCTTTACCCTTAAAACCAACCTAAACTCCTAATCTCACACCTAGGAGTACTTAATACTTGCTCTGATGTCCCATCAAACATTTATAGCAATTATAGGCTCTAACTTTTTAGGACACTGATCACAACCACAGCAAGATCATAATGAAGTTATGCCATGTACGCACATCATTTATCACTATGCTTCAACACCAAGCTCTTGTGTTTAGATGCTTATCACAGCAGACAGATAGAAGAGCAACAGGAGCAGATAAAGAGGTTATGGGTAGACAAACAAGAATACATTGAATTCTACACAATGGTGATCTGTGAAAGCATCCTAAAGCAAAGATATTTGAAACCTTCAAAAATCAAATATGCAATACAAAATATCTGCAAAAATGCAAAAATACAATTCAGTGTTGTTTTTCTTTCTTTTGTACTGTTTACATTAATTTTGAGGTCCAAAAAAAAACCAGTTCTATCCCCACCCCATTGTTTGCTAAGAACCCACTTTCATGGTCAGTAGATTAAAATCCTGTAATATACACAACATACCTGGCAATGTAAGTATGTATATCTCATAGCAGAGCAATTCCTATGGAATCTGCACATCACTGTAGTAGCTGGTGCTACTACAGTGACAGAAGTAGTCCTCAGGGTCCAGTGCAGAGCAGCTTCCCTTCTGCAAAGTAACCACAGTGTATCGCACACTTGGCATGGGGATATTCAATTTTCAATTATAAATCTTGTTCATAAAGAGACCACCAAGTGAATATGGTCAGTAATTTAAAGGAAAAAAGAGTTCATATGTTAACTCAATGTGAATCCACACTTTATTCCCAAAAAGGAAATCAGTGCTTCCACCACTGTGCTCCAGGCCTCTTATCAAAAGATGTGGACCATTAAATTATAAATGATCAGAAGTGCTCAAACTCAATGCCCTTCAGATGACATCCAAGGGTGCAAGCTCTGTCCCCAATTGGACTACCTCAATCAACGTCAAGGTTTTACCATCAAAAAAGATTAAACAATGCAAATATTTATAAAGTATGCCTTTATTAAAAATCCCAATACAAGGCGTTTTCTGATTGGATTAGGTGGAGAGGCAGGTCTATGATTAGGGGCATATTTGCCGCGAGGCAAACAAGGCATTTGCCTAGGGCGGCACTTTTCAGGGGGGCGGGTGGTGGCAGTGGGGACACTTCTGTGGGAAAGGGACAGGGGCTTCTGTGTCTTACCTGTCTCCGCGAATCCGTGTCCCGCTTCGATCCGCTCCATGCGGCGCTGTTGTAGGAGGGATGGAGAGGGTGTCCGGTCCGGTGTTTTCATCTCCCTGGATCTTGATTGCTATGTGGGCGGGATGACATGCCGCCCCTCTCATCTGGCCACACCCCCGGATCACTGGGCAGCCTATGGCAGCCTGCCCTTCCCTCTGCAGGCTCTGCCTCCTCACCAGTGATTGGCCGCAGGATCTGTAGCTCAGGAAGGGGCAAATCACCAGGGAGGAGGTGGAGCTTGGAGAGGAGGAGCCGAGCGGCAGTGCGAAAATCAAACATCGAGTGAGGGACCAGCCGGAGCCACTGAAGAGGAGGAGAGCGGCCAGAGAAGGAAGACAGCTGATGGGTAAGTGTCTCTGCGGCTGGGATCTGGGCAGAGCAGATTATACTACTGCAGCCAGGTGTGCTGGGTGTGGATGGGAGAGGGAGGAATAGTGCCCCATAACTGGTGTCAGTGAGAGGAATAACGCCCCAATGTTGGTATCAGTGAGAGGAAAAGTGCCCCACCGTTGTTGTCAATGGGAGGAATAGTGACCCATCATTGGTATCAGTGGGAGGAATAGTGCCCCATCGTTGTCAGTGGGCGGAGCTCTAATAGGAAGTGGTGGAGCCTAAAGAGGATGGGTGGAGTTTGCAGATGAAGGGGTGGATCTTAAACAGGAAGGGGTGGGGCAAATTTAGATGCGGGGGGGGTGTCTGATTTTAGTCTTGCCTAGGGCAGCACAAAACCAAAATACACCACTGTCTATGATGTGTGCTGGACGATGCACTAAAATTCATACCCAAGCTTCAGCTTTAGGCTGGAGTGTCCCCATTCTAAATTTAACATTTGCAACAAAGCGGGAGGCAGTCTCAACGCTGATTTTTATTGTTTTCTAGGCTCATTGGGTTTTTTTATGACATTGTTTGCTTCTGTCAGTTCCTAAATATTCACTAGTGGATTAAGTGAGAAGATACAATGTTGTAGGCTATGAATATTTTTCACCCTGGAAAGTTACTTGGAGGTCTACTCCACTAATGCAAGCTGGAGAAGGTGATAAATGTTTAGGATAAACTTCTAGAAGAGTCTTTTGCCTCCGAATATTTTGCATAAAGAGGCTGCATGTATATAGAGGTTCTTTCTTTGTCTTCCACGGCTGCTTCCTGGGGAGGAAGGCCATGTAGGGAGATATCTGTGCCTCCTAGGTCCTTTGCCTGGGGGAGGAAGCTGGAGCAGGAGAATCAGGGGCCTACCCAGAGAAAAAAACTTCAGAGGAGTCTGCTATGCTAAAGAGTTTACAGTAAGGTGCACATTGAATCAGTATCTCATTTCTCAGCTCCTTAAGGTATCCTGCTTAATCACTTGCTGACCAAAGCTTTAAAAGTGTAAGCATTAAAAAAAATTTATATTCCACTAGATGGCTGCATCATCGATCTGATGCCCTGCTGGCACTACACTACAGAACCGAGTGATCAAAGACAGCTAATCATTCAGTTCTTGGGTCTGCTTTGAGCACAGAGCGGGGACTGTCAGTCACCTCAATGGCCTCTGCCTCCGCAGTGCTAACTGGAGCACTGGACTGTGGAGACGGTAGGAGCGGCTGGCTCAGGTTATCAGCGGCACACTGGGAGACTGAGCCAGCTGCTTGTCAAACATTTGCACAGATCCCGACAATATTGTTGAGGTCCCTGCAGAGCCTAGACTGGCTGTGATGTCAGTCAACAGTGGGATTTAGCCCACCGTTGGTTGAATCTGGGTCACAGGAGTGCAGAACTAAGTGTACTCCTGTGACCCACAGAAAAGTATGGCCAAAAGAGGTTTGGCCATACTTCTCCTTTAAGGTCCACAGTTACAGATTGCTGGTCTTGGCTTAAAGGTCATATTGCTTTTGGCTTAAAGGTCATATTGCTGGTCTTGGCTTAAAGGTCCATGTCTACAGATTGCTGGTCTTGGCTTAAAGGTCCATATCTACAGATTGCTGGTCTTGGCTTAAAGGTCCATATCTACAGGTCTTGTCTATGTCTACAGATTGCTGGTCTTGGCTTAAAGGTCCATGTCTACAGATTGCTGGTCTCAGTTTCTACAGATGGGTTTTTGTTATTAGCTTATGAGAGGGATTGAAGATACATTTACTAGAAGATACTCTTGAGTAAACAGAATTTTTTGCTGCTGTTTTGGGGTACCCTGCACCTCTAATCCTTTTTTTTTAACAGTCAGCCAATAAAATCTGCAAAAAAATTGTCTGTCATTCAATTGGTGCTAGTGGATTGGTGAGTGTCTTTAGTCAGGGATAGACCAGATCACAGACAGGAAGCCTAGGAGGGCCTTCGTGTGTATTTTTTCCAGATCTGTGTAGTAATCCAGTGTGAAAGGTAATATCTAGGTTTGCAAATAAAGTGGATATATATTGTCTTTTTTTTACTATTAAAGAATATATATATATAAAATGAAAGTTTTCTTTCCCTGAGTTTATTTTCCAAAAAGTAAGTTCAAGTTAAAAATATTCAATTAATTTTTTTCAGTCCTTAATAAATACCAGTGTTGTTTCCTGCTGCAGTTGTCAATGTGATTATCTCATTTCCCAACTGAACCTTCAAGCCCTCAAATGGCTGGTGTCATAGCTGATCAAATGCACAGCACCATGGCACCTGCAGATCTAAACAGAGGCTAAGATTGCACCTTTTTTTGCCTGCAAAAAGGATTGAAGGGTTAAGTTCCACTTCAAGAACATAGATGTTGCATTATGAATGGCTAAAACAGGATCTTCCACAGTTTCGCTATAGTCAAGGGCACTATATTAAACCTTAAAATGTTACTGATTGATTGCACTTGGCCAGCCAAGTAGAAAAAATCTATGCTTAGTAGTGGCTTTAAACTACCCATGAAAGAAAAAAAAAAAAAAAAACACGGTCGGACCCCCTGGATCTTCTGGTAGTACAACACAGAATCTTTAGCTCCTGCCAGGAATAGAGAATTGAACAGAGCTGGGGTACATACATTTCCTCAATTCTACTCAAAAGAAGGGTTCATCACCATGTAAGAAAATTTCTACAATGCTACTTCAAAAGCAGGTTAATCACCTTGATTGGTTGTTAGAATAAAAAAGGTGTCTTCCACCTGCAGAATTATCACAGATATGTCTCATCCTTCCTAAGTGACAAATATGTCTTCCTATATTTGAGACACGTTATGGATCATGTTGTCCTTTTTTCCTTTTAGCTGTAAATTGCAGCATCATTAACCTCCCTGGCGGTATTCCCGAGTGTAGCTCGGGGTAAAGTTTCAGCACCACAAGCGGTAACCCTGAGCTACACTCGGGAATGCTATGCGGCGTTGCTCCGGGATCTCTTCTGCACTTACCTTGTCCTGCGCTCCTGCGATGTCTCTCCTGCAGTGTCCCCGGCAATCTCCTCTGGCCGATGCCAGCATCTGTCTTCCGGGTTCTGGTCCCTGCGACATCGGGACGTACGGGGATGGAACTGGCAGGAAATTTGAAAATTTTAAAAGTGACATTCACTAAAATCACATAGTATAACATTACTGTATCAAACCATTTCACATACATTTTGTCCCTAGTGCTTTGTCCTGTGCCCTGCCTGCATTTTTACCATTCTTTCTGCCTGGAAACTGAGAAACGTCCATGGCTTTAGGTCAAAATCGGTTTTAGACCAGCTAGAGAACAGTGATAGTAAATTAGAATCACTTGCAGAATTGAGTGATAATGATTCGTGGGGAAATTCGTCATCAGACACTGAAAATGATTTTGCGACTTTGCTCAGTGATGTGCGAACTTGGTGCTCTATTTCAAATTTCAGTGTTTTTGGTTTGATTATATTATTGAATTTAATTTATTATTATATTATTATTTTTTTATGATTATTTATTTAAAATTATAATTTATGATTTCGTGTTTCAAATTGTAACATACCCGGGATGTTTCCTAGACTCTTGTTTGGACAGATTTCAGTGAGTTATTCCTAAAAATTACAGGCCTACAATAAAAAAACTACGTATTTCCATGCAAAAAAAATGTACCGCTTTGAGCACAGAAATATGGACATAATCAGACCACTAGGGGGGTTAAGGACTTTAAGGCCATCCCTAAAGGTGAAGGTAGAAAGTTCACATCAGAAGTGGTGAGTCTTAGTAGTCTGTACTCAAAAATGCATTCTATTTTGTTGCTTAACCAGCAGTTTAGGAACATTTGACAGAGCTGGGATACACACATTTCTCCAATGCTACTTCAATAGAAGGCTTTATCACCTCACTGGTTGATACAATAAAAAGTGGGGTACTCATAAATTGCCTTCCAACTGCAGAACGATCATATTTATCATACTTTCTAGCAAAGAATATGACATATTCCTACACTGGCATACCTCAGTTTATGAATTTAATTCATTCCGTGGGACTTTTCTTATTGCAAAAAATTTGTAAACCGAAACACGGTTTCCCATAGGAATGCATTGAAAACCAATTAATCCGTTCCGGAGGTCAGAAAAAAGTCTTTTATCTGTTCAAAACTCTTTAGAAAAGTGCACTTTAAAGGGATACACACTGTACAGGAACATGATTAAAAATTAATTTGCAAATGCATTGAAAACCAATTAACCCGTTCGCATTGCGAAAAAATCTGTAAATGCATTGAAAACCAATTAATCTGTTCCGGAGGTCAGAAAAAAGTAAAAAAAAGTGATCTGTTCAAAACTGTTTATAAAGTGCACTTTAAAGGCATAGTACTGTACAGGCACATGATTAAAAAAAAAAAATTGTAAATGCATTGAATACCAATTAACCTCTTCGTAGTATGAAAAAAATTTGTAAACCGATCCATTATTTTCAGTGGATTTTCATTCGTAAACCGAAAATTAGGTTAACCGAGGCGTTCGTAAACCGAGGTACGCAAGTATTTGAGACAGGTACTTAAGAGTGGTAACACATTGTCCATGGTTCATTGGATCAGCTAGTTGCTCTCACTCAAATCTACAAGGGGATATGGAATTTGAAATTCAGTCTAATCATATTTCGGAACTCTGAAACAGACTTATATGTTATGTTCTGTTGTAGGGTACCATGGCAATTTGGGATGTTGCGGTTAGGAATTACTGAGTATATTTGTGACCTCCTTCATAGTACACTATGCTTGCTTTGTTACATATCAAGCTGTTGGAGGTTGGTCTATTCCATTTTTTTTTGTTTGCTTTAGTTGCGCTGTAGTTGATACGTTTTATGACTACAAAGATTGGTTGTGAATACCAGAGCACCAATGTGAAACTCTATAAGTAACATCTTTAGGGCTTGTCTCAATGGTATTAGTTTGACACAATTTTTAGACAAGTTTTGAGATCATTCAGATTTCCTTGACAGGTGCACTTCACCTGCAGGTGACCTGCTTCTTACCTGCATTTGTCTTCAAACAGGTATCCCTTTAAAGTTGTATAGGAATTCAAATGCTGTTTCAATGCAAACTGAAGCCTGTAGACACAGGCCCTTACTCTTGGTGGACCAAGTTGTCCTTTTTGCCTTGTTCTAACTGTAAAATGCAGCATCGTTGATTACTTTGTGGCCAGGACTGAAGATGAATATATAAAGATCACAACCTAAAAAGTCTTGTGCCACAGTTGTTGCAAATGCATTCTGATTTGTTGGTCAGCCACAATTTTTTGAGTTTAAATGTCTTAATGCATGGGCAGTGTAATAATTCAAGTGTATCATTATAAATAGATATAAAAACTGTTCTTTAAAGATGAAAACTCTCTCTTGCTCTGTAGCAAAGAATTGTCCACGTAGCTGCCTTTACTTTGTGAGCCGCTACTCACTTATAGGGTTAAATATATTTCTTGGAAAGAAATACATTTTTGTCTTCAATAAAAATAGTGAGAAATAATTTTTTGGCAATGAAAAAATAGCTATATGGAGAATTCAGTTGCCAAACGAAAGGATTTTCCGGAGCCAGACGGAGATTGTTCTTTCCAATCTGCTCCTCTCAACAATAAAATTATGGCTTCATAATTTTATGTCCAGTTGGCATGCTCCACCTCCTTCCCTTCCATCGCTCACCATTCCCTCACCCTTACCTCTCTATGCTCCTCTATATTTGCCTCAATTGGCCCACAAAATTGTAAAATATCTTTTTTGAAGGCTCAGTTAATCTATAATTTTGATCTTATTAAACATAGTATATAATATTAAATGAGCTTTAACTAATTTAGGCGATACAAGTGCTCACGGTCTGTAAACAGCTACATGATGATCTGAAGTGGATACAGTATTTATAAGAGGAAGGACCTCATTCAGAGTAAACAAAAATCAGCATTCCCTTTGCTTACCCTGAGCATTAAGGGGTTACTGACAATTCAGCCATTTTGTCCACCCTGCTGACTCACTAATTGCAAGCCTTTTAACGAGTCAGAAGCTCGTTAGCAGCCAAGAAACTGTGTGAGAGAAATTACCATTCACCTGAGTGCGTAATAATTATTAGGGCTAATGATTTATCCCTGCCAAATACTAGTTAACCCCTTGAGAGGAGAAAAAACATGCTGGAGCTGGTCAAACAATCAGTAAATGGTTAAAGCTGATCAGTTTATCTCCTACATTAGGATGGATTAGTATTAATTCACTGGGTTTTGTATTTACCAGCATTCCCTCAACCAGAGGTATTATAACCATTGTTTGATTTCCTATCCCAACCAGGGGCGGACTGATCAATCGAGCACTCGGGCACTGCCCGAGGGCCCGGGGTCAGTAAGGGGCCCCATGTAATGCCCCTGGTACCTTTTTTATAGGCTTTTTTGAGTGCGGGCAAGGACACAGGGGCCCCATGATCCCCTATTGCCCGGGGGCCCATGAGTTGTGAGTCCGCCCCTGATCCCAACCATTGTATATCTTCCTTCTACAGTAGTAAGGCTGGCCATAGATGGGGAATTAAAATAAATAGTGTAGCGCTAATAATACTAACAAATTACATGTTAAAATGCACAAACTCTATATACATCCCCTACATATATATATCCAAGGTGATAAATCAATACATAAATAATAAAATAGTTGGGTCATACGTGAATTCCCTCACGGGGAATATTTAGTGAAAAAAGTGACAAACACACTCCTATTTCCACATTGTGAAACAATATGTATACTGGTGCACAAAATTAGTGAACAAATAATCAATTCAAAAAGTCCAAAATGATATAATAATAGTAATATGATAATTTGTGATGATCCTCACACTTCACTCTTCATGCAAGAATATATAATGTGCCGTATACGTGGTACACACGTGCCAATCTTTTACCAGCCAAAATACCCCCTCACCTCCTTCATTAGACCCCACAGGGTCAACACGCTTTGAGGATCAAGTGATCCTATCAGAATGGGTCCCTCTCAGGCTTTCCCCTCACGTCTCCAGCCTCCAACAGACTAACAGCCAGCTCCTCACAGGATCATGATAAGACACAAACAGAGACCCTCCATAGTGCAACCGATTTTTATTGCATCAAATTTAAAACGACAATAAGTATTACACTCACATTTGCACATGAGTTTTCCAGCTTTTTACCACATGCTATGGGTGTACTGCATGGGTGTACTCAACAGGGTGATCCAATATGGCCCCCACGCCGGAAATGATGTCACCGGAAGCTCCTCCCCACGTACCGACGCGTTGCGCCACGCCCACCTCGTGACTTCATCAGGATGGGGAGATGCTTCCTTGGGAGTGATAGACAGGGAGACATCGGACTTTAGACTGTAGGTCCGTAATGTGCTGATGTACATCATATGATTTACTTGGAAGATTTATCATTTATTATTGCCCCCTGGGTAGCCCTAAAAGGCCCAATTTATGCAAAGAATCATTTTAGGATTTGGATTGGAGGTGGAATTGGGTCATTTACAGATACCCTTTCCGCCTTAGCACAGATATCAGAGGATGGGTGGATGCACAAGATTACACCCACTGCTGAAATTTGTTGTTTTAAACATACACAGTGGGATCACCCAAAACATGCATGTTTATGGCTGAAAGAGGAGCAAGAGTATCCCTCGCAGTAGCGTATCTTAGCAAAACAACTGAAATTTGTTAAAATTGCTGCTCACTATATGCGTTGAGATGATTTGGGGTTATTTCTGGTACCCATAGTTATGGGTTCACATCCCGCTCAGTCTGGTCAATATTTCAAGATGACGAGATCAATAACTTACATTACTTCTAAGTGATATTATTATTTGCTGCAACCAAAATAACAAATTCATACTTCAGCTAGTAATGCCCCATACACACGATAAGAAAATTGTCCGAAAAATTTTGCAGAACCACTGATCGAATGATTTTCTCTTCGTTGATGAGCAGGATGTTTTAACCAATAACGATATTGTGAACGAAAAAATCCAGTTGAACAACAGTGAAAAATTTTGTCGTTTCGCATAAGAACGACTATGCGGTGGTATGACGGTTGTACGAAAAAAAATCTATCAAGCGCTATCATTCATAAGCGGAAACAGAAGATGACCCGGATGTCTATGTCCAAGGAATCTTCATAAACACGGACGAAAAAAATCCAAATGTTAAAAGTAGATTGGCCTGATGAGATAATGAAACCAGAATTATGCCTATTATATTTTATGTATCACTATTTATGTATATAGATAATGTAATAAACTATATTATACTCATTGCTGTTAATTGTTGTGTATATCCCTTGTTCTGGTCGGAAGGGCGTAGCTACAAGGTCACACGCACACTGCATCACTTCCACTTGTACAGAAGATGTTAATACTGCATATTGCCTGACGAACGATTTTTTTAGATTGGCTAATGTGGGCCATGATTTCAGCCAACGAGCGAATGTCTCTCAGTCGTTGGATGACCGATCGGTCGATTTTCTAATCGTGCATTCCCACCTTAACCTCCCTGGCGGTATTCCCGAGTGTAGCTCGGGGTAAAGTTTCAGTACCACAAGTGGTAACCCCGAGATACACCCGGGCTTACCATGGGGCGCTGCTCCAGGATCCCTCGATCACTTACCTTGTCCTGCACTCCCGTGATGTCCCTCTTGCAGTGTCCCCGGCAAAGTAATCCGGCGGAAGCCGGCATCTGTCTTCTGGGTTCCGTTCCCTGCGTCGGGACGTACGGGGGACGGAACGGCGGGAAATTTGAAAATTACAAAAAGTGACATTCACTAAAATCACATAGTAAAACATTACTTTACCAAACCATTTCACATACATTTTGTCCCTAATGCTTTGTCCTGTGCCCTGCCTGCATTTTTACTGTTCTTTCTGCCTGGAAACTTAGAAAAGTCCATGGTGTCCAAAAAGTGTCCCTTTAGGTCAAAAGCGGTTTTAGACCAGCTAGAGAACAGCGATAGTAAATCAGAACCACTTGAAGAATTGAAGAATTGAGTGATAATGATTTGTGGGGAAATTCGTCATCAGACACTGAAAACGATTTTGCGACTTTGCTCAGCGATGTGCGAACTTGCCGCTATATTTCAAATTTCAGTGGTTTTGGTTTGATTATATTATTGAATTAAATTTATTATTATTATTATATTATTATTTTTTATGATTATTTATTAAATTATAATTTATGATTTCGTGTTTCAAGTTTTATCCTACCCGGGATGTTTACCAGACTCTTGTTCGTACAGTTTTCAGTGAGTTATTCCTAAGAATTACAGGCCTACAATAAAAAAAACTACATATTTCCATGCAAAAAAAAATGTGTACCGCTTTGAGCACAGAAATATGGACATAATCAGACCACTAGGGAGGTTAAGAGATATCTTCCCGTTTATCTCCCTTGCCAAAAACAGCAGGTGGACAATGATATTCTCTATCATTGACACTTGGAATATTGACAATTTTTTTTGGTATTTTGAATGATATTCTCCAGATTGACCTTCTGGTGTAATGACGCTGATGTCACTAGTCCAATATGCCAATCAGAAGATTATAGCAAGAAAGTCACACTCCCAGCTGACAGAAACATTGGTTCAAAGGCCACATGTCTCCCTGTCCCTAAGCCTTCCAACTTTGGAGTGCCTATTGCAGACTTGCTTTTATAGGTACAGAATGTAGGGTGGCTAACACTATATATGCATATGCTCGTTTCAGGTCCGTGACTCACTAAATAATGAAGAAAGGATGAGCATGACAGCCCTGGTAAATGCAGCTTCAAAATTAAGAGAGCGATGCCAGCTGCCAAATATACTGACATGCTGCTCTATAGCTTCTGTTTTACATTGACAGGAGGACATAAATTGGCTAAAATTTGTTTGGAGACAGCAAAATTCATTTCCAAATATTTCCAACTACATGGCAGTTTAGACATAATTAATCCTTGTAAAGGCACGGAACATGGGGGTCCAACTGTATGTGAACGTAGGGAGTGAAGCATAGGATTGGAAGTACAAGATAAAGAATGCCCCAGCAGAGAAAAGAAGCAAACACCAACTGCCCAGCACAGAGAACATCAATGTATAGGGGTGTTAATTGGCCTCTAGGCACACCATGCCTCTAGCTTTGCACGCACTACCGTTAAACAGAACAGGACGAATGTTTTTAGCAAAATTCATCTTTTATTGAACAATATAGCCTGCTCTGCACTACAAAAAGTGCACACCTGCCTCCATAGGTTCACCATAATGATCTAGTCATATTAATTGAGATATTCATCACTAAGTATTATTATTTCATGTCATGCATTCATTTAACCTTGCATTTTTCTTAGTTTAGCTTGAAAGCATTGAACATAGGTTTCAATGCACATTAGAATTTACCTGTGGGAGACTGTGAATTTGAGTTAAAAAAATCTGGAGAAAAAAATGGCCTATAGCAACACATTCAACTGAAAGCTGTCATCATGTCCATTATTAGGCTCCATGCACACTGGCATTTTAATAACACTGGCAGCGTTAGCTGTGTAAAATCTTGTTAAAAATGTGAGTTTTTTAGCGTTGGCGTTTTTTTTCACACACAAAAATAAATTTGCTCAATAAAACAACCAAGAACGCTGGTTTGCCACGTTTTACCGCATTTTTCCACACCAGCGTTAGTCCTAATCCACACTGGATGTTTTTACAGCTGTTGTTTTTGGCTTTTGATGGTTTTTTCTACAGTCAGTAAACCCCCCCAGCATGTTATCCTATGTGTTCATGCACACACAGACTGTAATCAAAGTTTTTTGGCTGGGACTTTTTTTTGGCTGGAAAAAACCAAGGACTAGTGGGTTTCTAGAGGAGTTTTTTAGCTGTAAAAATGCTCGAATGCTGAAAAACGCAGCAAAACATGGTAAAACATGGCAAACCGGCGCTTTTGGACTTTTTTTGACCAAAAAAATATTTTTGGTTGAAAAAAAACTCTAAAAAATGCTAAAAAAAAACCGCAAACGCAGAAAATCACTGCAAAACGCGGCAAAGCGCCACTAAATGCTAATGCAAAAATGCTAAAAAAAGCTGAAAAACTCACATTTTTAACGTGACTTTACACAGCTAAGGTTACCAGCTTTATTAAAATGCCCAGTGTGCATGAGGACTTAGAGCATTTTTTACAGCTAAAAAAAACTCCTATATAAACCCACTAGTTCTGGGTTTTTTCTCCAGCCAAAGAACACCCCTGCCATAAAATGCTGATTAACCTCCCTAGTGGTATGATTATGTCCATATTTCTGTGCACAAAGCGGTAAATTTTTTTGCATGGAAATATGTAGTTTTTTTATTGTAGGCTTGTAATTTTTAAGAATAACTCACTGAAATCTGTCCAAACAAGAGTCTAGTAAACATCCCGGGTAGGATAAAACTTGAAACACAAAATCATAAATTATAATTTAATAAATAATCATAAAAAAATAATATAATAATAATAAATTTAATTCAATAATATAATCAAACCAAAAACACTGAAATTTGAAATATAGCGCCAAGTTCGCACATCACTGAGCTTAGTCACAAAATCGTTTTCAGTGTCGCATAACCAATTTCCCCACAAATCATTATCACTCAATTCTGTAAGTGGTTTTGATTTACTATCGCTGTTCTCTAGCTGATCTAAAACCGCTTTTGACCTAAAGGGACACTTTTTGGATGCCATGGACATTTCTCAGTTTCCAGGCAGAAAGAACAGTAAAAATGCAGGCAGGGCACAGGACAAAGCACTCGGGACAAAATGTATGTGAAATGGTTTGATACAGTAATGTTTTACTATGTTATTTTAGTGTATTTAGTGAATGTCACTTTTTGTCATTTTCAGATTTCCCGCCAGTTCCATCCCCGTACGTCCCGACGCTCGCAGGGGACGGAACCCAGATGGCAGATGCCGACATCCGCCGGATTATATTGCAGGGGACACTGCAGGAGGGACATCGCGGGAGCGCAGGATAAGGTAAGTGATCGGGGGATCGCGGAGAAGCGCCGCATGGTAAGCCCGAGTGTAGCTCGGGGTTACCGCTTGTGGTACTGAAACTTTACCCTAAGCTACACTCGGGAATACCGCCAGGGAGGTTAAAGCCTATGTGTGTATGGACACATAGGATAACATGCTGGGGAGTTTACTGGCTATTGAAAAAATGCCAAAAATCAAAAACAGCAGCTGTAAAAAGGTCCAGTGTGCATGAGAACTTAAAGCAAAAATAGCACCTAATTGGACAATAGCCTTATGGTTCTCACTTGCTTTCATTTTTATTTAAATATTTACATACCAGACATTGCACTTGATCTAAGCATTTTCTGCAGCATTTAGAAGAAATGCAGTACAGTCCATTTAGCATGATTTCCTATGGGACATGTTCACTCGTGCGTTTTCACCTGGTGTGTTTTTTGGAAAGGGTCAGGGACTTTTTTTAATGGAAAAAGTTGTGCTTTTAGTTCTATAGACTTCAATGGAAACGCTGTAGAAAGCATGTATTGTGTTTTTGCCACAATTTTTTTTATGAGTTTTTGATGCATTTTAAATCTGCCTAGGAACAAGAAAAATAAAAAAAATGACCCCCCCCCCACAAAACGCATCATAAACATGGCAAAAACGCAATGCAGAAACAGCTCAGTCTCAACCTGTATAGGTGTGAACCTAGACTTAATGCAGTTAATCTGACATTCACCTAATTTTCACTGCATGTGAATCTTCCTAATGCATTCATTTTACTGCATGTTACTTGTGGTCATAGATATGAAAGAAAAGTCACATTGTGACATTTTAATAACATTAAAAAAAAAAGTAAAAAAAAAAAAAAAAAAAAAAAAAAAAAGGTAAACAATGCCTTTCTTTGTAAAAATGCAAGGCGCAAACTGCCCTAAAGCCCCTAGTATACAAAATGTAAATGGATACTTACAGGGCTTTTTTTTTCTCATAGAATAGGTTTAGGTCCCTTCCTCTAAGGCTGGCCATACACGTGTAGATTTTTTAGCCGCGAATATTCATTTCAAGAATCTTCAGTTGATTTTCTAACGTTAGTGGGGTCAAATCAATGTTTGTTTTTGACAGCAGTGACAGGAAAATTCGAAGGGGCAGGAAGGAAAACTTTGCGATCAAATGAATTTTTGGTTAGTGTATGTGGTTATCATTCAGAAATTACAAACATTTTAAAGTCGAATGTTAAAAGCAAAAGACAATTTTCGAACGACATTCGTCCATTCATCGAATGTGCAAAGAATTTTTGTACGACTTTTCTTACGAATATTCTTGGCTGAAAATCTACACACCTTGTTTCTGCCCCCTTTCCTCCTCCAAGCACCGTCCCTTGGTTCCAACCCTTACCCACCTACAACTACCGCTCTTTTTAGAGAATACAGAGTCTGAATTTGTTAATGATAACAAAAAAAGCAGTAAAATAAATCTCCTGCCACCAGCAATAGACCCTCCCAATAACAATAGATTCCCCTAGCAACAATAACCCCCCCAGCAACAATAAACCCCCGGCAGCAACAGTAGATCTCCCAGCAGCCAGCATTAATATACTCTCCAACAGCTAGCAACATTAGACCCCTCCCTCAATAGTAGATCCATTCCATTCGCAATAATCGACCCCCCAGTAACAATATACCTCCCCAAAAACAATAGCCCACCATACCAAAATAGATCCTCTTCAATGATAATAGATCCCCCAGCTGCCAATAGACCTTTCAGCACGCCCCAGCACCCCTTGCCATTACATGCGTTCAGTGCTACAGGTGCCGAAACTGCGTTCCTGCTGAGAAAAAGCCCTGGTTACTACATTTATGAAGAAGATCATT